TGAAAGAAAAAAACATTAGGAATAGCGAAAGCAAAAACACAAACAATACACCAGATTATACGAACACTAAAGGTGCAAAAATTAGAAGACAATAGCAAACAATGTTTTATGTGGAAAAACTAGAAATGCAATCACAATCACAGGGGTCTAACCCTTCCCCTAGTCCATTGAAGCGCTGAACTAGCAGAACCACTGAACCGGAACCCGGCTCTGGCCTTGATTCGCGCTGTTTAGTGTGTTAATTTCAAGTTGGAAGCCAACAAAACACTTTCCTAAATTAAACAATTTTTTGCCAAAAACATTCTTAACCTCTAGCTAATCGAATTCAATTTCTTTCCTTAAATTCAATAAAAAAAAAAGGTTGAAACTTTATTCAAGAAATTGGGCTAACCTAGAATTTGCATCTCTAAAACGGTAGCAAAATTAAGTTTTATACAATTAACCATAAAATTAGCCAAAATTCAGTGTTTGGGATGGAATTATAAATGCTTCTCAGTATATTGGCAATAATTTAAACTAAAATAAAACTTAATTTGCAGAGCAAGAGAAATTAAAAATTCAGACATTATATTCAAAGAAACAAAAAGAGAGAGAAAAAAAATTACCATGGGAAATGAGAAAAGTGGGTTTGATCCTGGAGACCAAGCTGGAAGTGGGTAGAAGCGCATGGTTCGCCATTGTTACCTCTCTCTACTTTCTCTCTCTAGATTGAGACCAGAACAATGCCCAAATTTTAACAGTTGGGTAGAGACAGTTGAGTGAGAGGGAGAAGATAAGCTTCCATAGCCATGGAATATAATCCACTTGTTCACTAATTACACCTTACAAAATATTTTTACTGAGGCAGAAATTGATTTGATTTAATAAAGCTTGTTCTACTCTTAAAAAAAAAAAACAAAAAACAAAAAACAAAAATTTATATAATATAATTTTTATTAGATGATTAATTTAAAATTAACATATAATTCACAAATGAGTATATATTGAAAATATTTCCGTTACAAGATTAAGGTGTTACTCATTTGAAACCATAATCAATAATAATAACTTATACTAAAACAGAGATTGGGAGTGACATGTGTCACATCCTGGAGTTGTTTTTTTTTTTCTTCCAAAACTCCCCCTCCTCTTTTAGCAAAAAATATTTTATTTTTGGAATATTTTTATAATAAAACTATAATAATATTATTCCAAACTTATATATTATCTCTATATAAAATGTATTCCTTTTAATTGTGTTTAAAAATTTTCCGTGCACATTTACCAAAATTAGTTTTCCAACTCTTTTTTAATTATCTTTTAAACGAGTGTTATTGAGTTTACCAAAAAAGTAATAATAAAATTGATTCATATCGAAGTAATTGATATAAAAGAAATTACTTTAAAACATCACTTTATTTTTTATTTTTTTAAATTCCTTTTTATTTTGTTTATTAGACTAATGGGGTATTAGATATGACCATAAAATAAATATTGTGTTCGACTACTATATTATATGTCTAATTCGAAAATGTAAAATATCAATTATTTTTTTGTTATTACATTACTAAAAAAAGTTAATATCTTAGTAAATACAAAAAAATTATTATCTTTTGCTAAAACACTTTATTGAGATAATAACTTTATCACATTCATCATTCATAAATAAGCTGCATTTTAAAAAAACACGTCGGACATAGTGACAAGTGACATATTCTTGTGTTTTTTTTTTTTTTTGGATAAATAGCTATCGTCGACAAATAAAATTTTAAGACAATAAACAAACAATGATCAAACTAGAATTATTGGATAGCTTTCAAACACTTATTTATATAATAACAAAGAGCGGCGATATCATGTAGAGCATCAATCCATAAACAGAAAATGTACTACTTATAATATAGGTTAGTGTTGCCTAATTATTGATTGTTATTGCTTTTAATGATCTAAGTAGTATTTATTTTCATTGAAATTATTTGTTGGATATAAAGATGATATATTATTTAATTTGTAATTTATATATTTACATGTATGTTGTGTCAATAGTTTTACTGTAGATTTTAGTTTGTTGTTTGATTAATGTTTTGATATTTATTAAAAGGCATTATAAATAAGTCTTTAGTCATATAGTCACTAGATTGTATAGTTTTATTGGGAATAATATGCAGTATTAATGTAATATAATGTATACTAATTTTAAATATTTTCAACTCAACTAAAAACAATATATTTTTTTTCTTTCTCAATTGTAGTTTTAATGAATTTTGTCTTATTAATTTATTTTTTTATATGCATTGCATTTGTTTATTCCACATGAGTTACCTAATTTTTATATTATATCAAAATTCATTATGGGAAAAAGATTATTACTACCGTGCATCACACGGGCACTAATCTAGTACTCGTATAATCTCAAAACTAAGGTATTTTTCATTCTATTTTGCCAACTCTTAGCCTAGTTAATGCGGATTTTGGGTTTCCATTCCAAAAAAAAAAAAAAAAAAAAACTATTTTGGCCCAAAATTTTGAGTGCGAGTCATGAGCATGCTCCTTCGACTCAAGGACAGTTTACGAGTAAAAAATCACCCCAATATAAATACTTTAACAGCCCCACACCGGCAACACCTCACAAGCTATACTGAGATTTACATTTAAGGGAAAGTCGTTGTAGACTCGTTGAAGATTTTCACTTTCATTTTTAAATGGTAAGGAATTTTTTATTAACTAATCCACATAGTTCATATAATTAAAATTATGTCATATACTTTATCATAATCTATAAATTTGGCCTTAAAAATATACTTTGATTTAATAAAAATACTATAATAGAATTACTAATGGAGAAAATATTTTCTAGTCCTCAAGTAAATAAGCTTTATTGCTTATGATTCTATGTATGGAATTTATCAGAAGTGGTTCATTATATTGATATATGAGTAGAAGTGCTTGGATCAATTACAATTTGATAATACAAATTACAAATGTATGGAGTATATAAGATCTCCTAATTAGTGGATGAAACACAATTAAGGGTGTAAGGTGTAACATTATATAAAAATAATGTAGAATTCCATTGCAAGGGTTTGTTTTGTTTCACACAAATGACATGAACACAACCATACAGAAGTAAAGGGTACATTTCCTTCTTCCATTTCTAACTATTCCTTTCTGATGAACCACATATTGTTCGTGCAGCCATGCTATTGTAAGGACATAGGAGACATATAGGCCTAAACTTGCACGAAAAAAACGCATTTTCATTTTATTATTGGTAGTTCTAGTCCAAACATATGCTATGAAAACCTTCACATATCTACATTATTCCACATGTTTTTGCTCCAAAAATTCAGCTTCTTAGAAGTCAAGTACAAAATGAGTGTCCTTTGGTCAATCACCTAAATAAGTGTAGTATATAACTTAAACTGTTTCGCGTTGTTTTTAAGCATTTTATTTCCCTCTCTTTCTGCCTCAGTAAGCTAAAATCATGGTAATTAGTTCCAAGAAATTGTTCAAGTTGACAAGAAAATGGCAAGATAAGGCTGCACCTAAGAGAAGAGTTACATGGCCTAAAAGAGCAGTGGCTGAAAAAGGTCATTTTGTAGCGTATACCATAGATGGAAGACGGTTTATGATTCCCTTGTCATATCTGAAGAGCGAGGTGTTTAAAGAGCTGTTTCGGATGGCAGAAGAAGAGTTTGGGGTGCCTAGTGATGGACCAATCACACTGCCTTGTGATTCAGTTTTCATGGAGTATGCAATGTTTATTGTTAGAAACCATGCATTTGTTGATCTTAAAGACGCGCTCCTTTCCTTAGCTGATTTCTGCTGCCCATCTTTGGGATTATATCAAGGATCATAATCATCAAAATTTGTGAAAATGTAGCTGTCTGACAGAATTTTTTTAACTTGTATGGAGTATGTACTAGTAATCATTGTAAATTCAAAGAAATGGTTCATAGATATATCAAATCAAGTATATTTATTTCATTTCATGAGCGTTTAAATGGTAATTCACTACCGCAGTTAAAGTTCAGATACAGTAGCATAACTTTTGATGATTCCGAAAACTAACAGAAAATGAATAACTACCTGTCTACCTCTAGTGGTTTCTAGAAACTAGTTTTCCGAAGAACAGAAAACTGAAAACTCGCAACAATAAAGAACACTTGGATTAGATAAACGAGTTATGTGTGATCCACCTAAAAAACTGATGATAAATCAACAGATATCTTTCTACAGTATAAAACAATACAGAAAATAGTAGATTTTATCAGGTACTTTGTGGTACGTCTCATGTATATGGTACAGAAAATCCGTCCTGCAGTACAGAATTTCATTCCTTAGGATAACTGGATAAGTTAAGGCTATATATGATGGTGCCAGTTGTTTAGGCAATGTTCACACAATTTTAATAACAACCTTATATCATATGGAACACGGCGAGTTTAGCAACATCTGTCAACCTAGATTTAATGATTCAAACACTACTCAATGTTAGCTTGTTCCTATGTCGGATAGTAGGAGAAAAATTCTGGGTAGCTTGATAAGATACAAGACATAACACTTCAACAATCTATCTGATGAATTAGCTCAAACGATAAACTTCATGCCTTTATGCAACAAAGCACATACCAACTAATTAAATGCAGATGTTTAGTTCCCATGTGCATCAGAGAAAGGCAAAATTATGCAGATTAGATATTAGATAAAAGAAAAAGCAGAACCATGCGATTTATGATTCATATAATCTAATCGAGTGGCTTAGAAGAGGTTTTTATTAAATATCAAGATACATTATTGGGCTACATGTTTCGGAATCATCAAAAGAAACAGAAACCTAATCGTGTGGCTTTGCTTCCAAATCATAAGGACAAGGCTGTCACTAATGAAGTGATCTGTCTTCAGCTTGGAGCTATAAAACTTGCTCATTCCCTCAACATTTTCCAGCCAACTCAATTGCTAAATTTCACTTACTCATCTATTTCCTCATCTTCGGAAATATTCTCTCCTTGCTCTCTTAAAAGTTTAAACTCAAAATGATTAGTACAAAGAAGCTCCTCAAGATGGCAAAAAAGTGGCAAAAGATAGCAGCTGCCAGCAGGAAGAGGATCTCCTGGCCGAGACCACCAGCTGATAAGGGCCACTTTGTCGTCTACACAACTGATGGAAGACGATTTACCATTCCTTTAGCTTATCTCAAGAGCGAGCTTTTCATAGAGCTCCTCAGAATAGCCGAGGAAGAATTTGGAGTTACAAGTTCTGGGCCAATTACACTGCCTTGTGATTCGAAATTCATGGAGTATGTGATCTCTATGATTCAAAGACGTGTAGCTGAGGATTTAGAGAAGGCATTGATCATGTCATTAGCTAGCTGCAAATACTTGCCATCGTCACATGATCAACATCAAGAACAAACAAATTCAAATTTGTTAATTTGCAGTTTCTAGAATATACTTTTGTTTCTACTTGTATAGAACAACATTAGAGCATACCTTGATTATACAATCTTACTTAGAAAATTAATGAAAGCATTCAATCATTTATATCAAACAATTTTTCCATAATATGAACGTTCTCCCCTTATCTTAAATCTAATTCTTGGCACGATACAAACAGCAAAATGATCACAGAAATACAGTAAAACTTACAGATTTTTTTAAAATCTATATTGAAAGGCTTAAGAGTTAAACTTTGTATATGAGTAAATCATAGCTCATAATGGCCATATGCTTATGTTTCAAATTGAACATATTAACCCTACATACAACTAGGCAACCATAAATGACGTTATATTATCTGGCAAACAGATGTGGTTTCTTTCTAACTATTACTTCTTATAACATAGGTGAAAAGTTGAAAACTCATACTCCATGTCCCATGTTATTTTGCACACTAACCTTTCGCGTTTGTCCAAAACTACTTTCGTACACAACTACTGCTATTTTATTTCAATGTACAATTTGATTTTCCTAGGCACCAGAGATGTCATTGCAGTAGTGAATTTAAACATATCAGATAAAAAAGTTTTAAGAAAAAATGTTGCTTAATCAACTTAAAATCTGTGATTTTGCCAAGATACCCTAAACTCTTTGAGAGTGGATAGTTATTCCTTCGACATAGATTGGTCATAGTTCGGTTAACCAAATGGCAAAGCCGCGTGCTGTATCTAACTGACAACATTAAATCTCAGCTTGTAATATAGAAACTAAGGGTAATACCGGGAACTGAGATAACCCTTAGTCATTACACTAATTCCAGGAAAGGCCTAAAGGCAAAATCCTCTGTTCCAGGAACAGTAAATTACTTGCAGTTTATACCATAAAGCATGAAAATATAAAGAAGGGTTCACTGCTAAAATAACAAGGCCAAATGATTGGAACTTCCGTAGAAAATTTCATTAACTATCTCAGTAAAATTGTACAACTATATGTTATCTACAAAAAGATTGAGGAAAAGTTTCTAATAACTACAGATAACTAATTGTTGATTAGTCTGATCTTGGTGGTCATTTGACAATGAAGAGTATCTACAAGTGGCTAAGGACATGATTAGTGCTTGCTCCAAGTCCTCCGCGACATTTCTTTGGATCATAGAGATTGCGTACTCCATGAAATTTGAATCGCAAGGCAGCGTAATTGGCCCTGAACTTGTTACTCCAAACTCTTCCTCTGCCATTTTTAAGAGCTCTATGAACATCTGGCTCTTGAGATAATTCAAAGGAATCATAAACCGTTTATTATCACTTGTATAAACAACAAAGTGACCCTTCTCAGCCACCGCTCTTGACCAAGAAATTCTCCTTCTGCCGGCAGCTGCTAATCTTTGCCATTTCCTAGCCATTTTGATAAGCTTCTTAGTACTAATCATTTTGAAAGTTATAAGAGAATTTTTCGAAGATGAGAAAGTAGATTGGAATGTTACAACGAATAATGATTTAGAATGCTTGAATGAGAATGCCTTGGGGAATGATCATGTTTTATAGCACGAAGCTAAAGACATATCACTTCGACGTGGGACTACCTTGTTTTCAATCATCGAAAGCAAGTTCATGTGGTTATTCATGTGGCCTGTCTGATTTACTTTTCTATTTGATAAATCCCAGATCATACAGGCCTAATATGTTGCTCATAGATACAAGCTTCTTCGCAACCAATTGATTGAATATCGTGTAAACTTCCTGCTAATGTACCGCCATGTACTCACCAGCTAATTAAATGCAGTTGTTTCTGTTTCCACATCCATCAAAGAACAAAACAATTACACAGATTAGATATTAGTGGAGCAAAATACAGAACCATTACACACTTGTAAAGTTGTAAAACGATAATCTATTTGAATGGCTAACAACAGGTGTATATTAATTATAAAAAAACATCTTTGGGCTACATGTTTTTGGGATCATTCATAGTAACATAAACTTAATTAATCGCGTGGCTTTGCTTCCAAATAATGTGAACAAGGCTGTCACTGATGAACTGATTTGTCTTTACATTGAAGGCTATATAACTTGACCATTCTCTCAACAATTTCCAACCAACTCAATTGCTAAATTCCTCATACACATCTGTTTTCTCAAATTCGGAAAAACCTCTTCTTACACTCTTAAAAGTTAAGCCTCAAAATGATTAGTACAAAGAAACTCCTCAAGATGGCAAAAAAGTGGCAAAAGATAGCAGCTGCCAGCAGGAAGAAGATATCCTGGCCGCGTCCAGTGGCTGATAAGGGTCACTTTGTCGTCTACTCAGCAGATGGGAGACGATTTACCATTCCTTTAGCTTATCTCAAGAGCGAGCTTTTCATAGAGCTCCTTAGAATAGCCGAGGAAGAATTTGGAGTTACAAGTTCGGGGCCAATTACACTACCTTATGATTCGAAATTCATGGAGTACGCAATCTCTATGATCCAAAGATGTGTAGCTGAAGATTTAGAAAAGGCACTGATCATGTCATTAAGTAGCTGCAGATACTCATCATTGTCACATGATCAACATCAAGAACAAACAAATTCAAAATTGTTGATATGTAGTTTCTAGAACATAGTTTTTTTATTACCCTTTTGTATAGATGATACCTTGATTAAATAAATAGTTATACTTAGAAAATTAATGAGATCAATCATTGAAATCAAACAAATTTGCCATTATATGATTGTGCTCTTCTCTTAAATTTAATTCTTGGCGCGGTATAAACTGCATAGTGATCAGAGAAATACAGCTTTAACCCATTTTTCTTTTCCTTTTTTAAAAATCTTTTTCTAAAGAGTCAAGCTTATTCGCACATCATAACCAATTGTTGGAGAAAGTGTTTCAATTCTAACTGTAGTGAAGAGTTCGAGTAACATAGGTAAACATATGTGATCTAGTGACAGTTAATGGATAATTAATTGCATTGTACATTTGCATTTTACATAATTGAAAGAGCCTTTGGTTAATCTATCATATCACTGGCCATATGCTTTTGATTCATATTGAACATATTAACCCTACATATACAACAAGGCAACTATAAATGATGTTTAATTTATTTGGCAATACAAATATGGTGCATTTCGGCCAGTTGTAACATAGGTGAGTACTCCTATTCCGTTTCCCATATTATTTTTACCTTTCGTGTTGGTCCCAAATTACTTTCACAGTCAGATGCTTTTAAATTATTTCAATATCCAATTTGATTTGTCTAGGCGCCAGAGATGTCATTGCAGTAACAAATGCAAATTTATCAGCTAAAAAATAGTTTTAAGATAGATGTGATTTACTTTATTTCACAGTAAAATGCATCTTATTCAGCTTAAATGCCTGTGTTTTTGCCAAGATACCCTTGACTCTTTGATAGTATATAGATTTGCCTTCTCTTGGACATATATTGGTCATTGCCTGGTTAACCAAATTTAAAAGCGCGTGTTGTAACTAACTTGCAACATCAGATCTCAGTCAGTAGGTTTGTAATTCTTCTTATAAGGTAAATTCCTCTGTTCAAGGAACTGTAAATTACATGCAGTTTATACCATGCAGCATGAAAAGATAAAGAAGAGTGCACTGCTAAAATGACAAGGCCATCTGATTTGGAAATGACAAGGCCATCTGCTAAAATGACAAGGCCATCTGATTCGAATTTCCACTAGAAATTTCATTAACTTTTTTAGTAAGATTGTACAACTACACATTTTCTACAAAAAGATCAAGGAAAACTTTCTAGAAACTACAGATATATAATAGTTGATTAGTCTGATCATGTTGGTCATTTGACAATGAAGAGTATCTACAAGTGGCTAAGGACATGATTAGTGCCTGCTCCAACTCCTCAGCGACATGTTTTTGGATCATGGAGATCGCGTACTCCATGAAATTTGAATTGCAAGGCAGTGTAATTGGCCCTGAACTTGTTACTTTAAACTCTTCCTCAGCCATTTTTAAGAGCTCTATGAACATCTCACTCTTGAGATAATTCAAGGGAATCATAAACCGCTTATTATCATTTGTATAAACTACAAAGTGACCCATCTCTACTGCTTTTGACCAGATTCTCCTTCTACCGGCAGCTGCCAATCTTTGCCATTTCCTAGCCATTTTGATAAGCTTCTTAGTACTAATCATTTTGAAGGTTAAAAGATCAGTAGAGGTTTTTTCCGAAGATGAGAGAGTATATTCGAATGTTATAATGGTGAATGATTTTGCAATGCTTGGATGAGAACGAAGGGCTTGGAGAATGATCAAGTGTTATAGCTCCAAGCTAAAGACATATCAATTCGACGTGGGACTGCCTTGTTTCCATTCTTTGAAAGCATGTTCATATGGTTATTCATGTGGCCTTGTCTGATTTACTTTTCTATTTGACAAATCCCAGATCATACAGGTAGGCCTAATATGTTGCTCATAGAAACAAACCTCTTCGCAACCAATTATATTGATTCATTATTGTGTAAACTTCCTGCTAATGTACCACCAAGTACTCACCAGCTAATTAAATGCAGATGTCTCAGTTCAGATTAGATATTAATTAGATGAGCAAACATCAGAACCATTATCACACACTTGTAATACAGTAATCTAATTGAATGGCTAACAACAGGTGTTTATTAATTATCAAAAAACATCTTTGGACTACAAGTTTTGGGATCATTCATAGTAACATCAACTTAATTTATCGCGTGGCCTTGCTTCCAAATAATGTGAACAAGGCTGTCACCGATGAAGTGATATGTCTTTACATTGAAGGCTATAAAACTTGCCCATTCTCTCAACAATTTCCAACCAACTCAATCGCTAAATTCCTCATACACATCTGTTTCCTCATCTTCGGAAAAAAAAAAAGAACTCTTCTTGCAATCGTAAAAGATAAACCTCAAAATGATCAGTACAAAGAAACTCCTGAAGATGGCAAAAAAGTGGCAAAAGATAGCAGCCGCAAGCAGGAAAAGGATATCCTGGCCGCGTCCAGTGGCTGATAAAGATCACTTTGTCGTCTATTCAACAGATGGAAGACGATTTACCATTCCTTTAGCTTATATCAAGAGCGAGCTTTTCATAGAGCTTCTTAGAATAGCAGAGGAAGAATTTGGAGTTACAAGTTCGGGTCCAATTACATTGCCTTGTGATTCGAAATTTATGGAGTATGCGATGTCTATGATCCAAAGATGTGTAGCTGAAGACTTAGAAAAGGCACTGATCATGTCATTAACTAGCTGCAGATACTCATCGTTGTCACATGATCAACAACAGGAACAAACAAATTCAAAATTGTTGATCTGTAGTTTCTAGAATATAATTTTTTTATTTATTTATTTATTTATTTATTTATTTTTTTTTTTACCCTTTTGTATAGATTATACCTTGAATATATAATTTTACTTAGAAGATTAATGAGATCAATTATTCAAATTAAACAAATTTGCCATTATATTGTGCCTTTTTCTTAAATTTAATCTTTGGCGTGGTATAAACTGCATAGTGATCAGAGAAATACAACTTACACCTATTTTTATTGTACTTATTTTAAAATCTTTTTGTAAAGAGTAAAATTTGTTCGCACATCATAACCAAATTATTAGATAAAGTGTTTTCAACTGTAGTGAAGAGTTCGAGTACCATAGGTAAATATGTGTGGTCTAGTCACAGAGTTGAAGGATAAATATAGAATTGTAAATTTGCATTTTACATAATTGAAAGAGCCTTTGATTAATTTATCATTCACTGGCCATATGCTTTTGTTTCATATTGAACATATTAACCCTACATACAACTAGGCAACTATAAATGATGTTTATTAATTTTATCTGGCCATACAAGTATGGTTCCTTTCGGCCTGTTATAACATAGGTGAGTACTCATACTCCGTTTCCCATATTATTTTGCACACTTACCTTTCGCGTTTGTCCCAAATTTCTTTCAGTCAGATGTTTTTACTTCATTTCAATATCCAATTTGATTTTTCTAGGCGCCAGAGATGCCATTGCGGTAGCAAATGCAAACATATCAGCTAAAAAATGTTTAAAATATATGTGATTTACTTTATTTCACAGTCAAATGTTTGTTACTCAGCTTAAAACCTGTGATTTTGCTAGGATACCCTTGACTCTTTGAGAGTAGATAATTTTGCCTTCTCTTGGACACAGATTGATCATTGCTTGGTTAACAAAATGGCAAAACCGCGTGCTATAACTAACTTGCAACATTAGATCTCAGTCAGTAGATTTGTAATACATCTTATAGGGTAAGTTTCTCTGTTCCAGGAACTGTAAATTACCTGCAGTTTATACCATGCAGCATGAAAAGATAGAGAAGAGTGAACTGCTAAAATAAAGGCCATCTGATTCAAATTTCCGCTAGATTTTCATTAACTTTCTCAGTAAGATTGTACAGCTATACATTTTCTACAAAAAGATCAAGGAAAAATTTCTAGAAACTACAGATAAATGATTGTTGATTGTTTTGATCTTGTTGGTCATTTGACAATGATATAATTTCTAACAATGAGTATCTACAAGTGGCTAAGGACATGATCAGGGCCTGCTCCAAGTCCTCAGCGACATGCCTTTGGATCATGGAGATTGCGTACTCCATGAAATTTGAATCACAAGGCAGCGTAATTTGTCCTGAACTTGTTACTCCAAATTCTTCCTCTGCCATTTTTAAGAGCTCTATGAACATCTCGCTCTTAAGATAATTCAAAGGAATCATAAACTGTTTATTGTCACTTGTATAAACAACAAAGTGACCCTTCTCAGCCACTGCTCTTGACCAAGAAATTCTCCTTCTACCGGCAGCAGCTAATCTTTGCCATTTCCTTGCCATTTTGATAAGCTTCTTAGTACTAATCATTTTGTGGGTTATAAGATCAGGAGAGAACTTTCGAAGATGAGAAAGTAGATAGAATGATGAATGATATAGCAATGTCTGGATGAGAAGGCTTTGGAGAATGATCAAGTGTTATAGCTCCAAGCTAAAGACATACCACTTCGTCGTGGGACTGCCTTGTTTTCATTCATCGAAAGCAAGTTCATGTGGCCTTGTCTAAATAACTTTCCATCTGGCAACCATTTTGACAAATCCCAGATCATACAGGCCTACTATGTTGCTCATAGATACAAGCCTCTTCACAACCAATTGATCGATTATAGTGAAATCATATCCTGCTAACATTACGCCAAGTACTCACCAGCTAATTAAATGCAGATGCTTCAGTTTCCACATCCATCAAAGAACAAAACAATTAAACAGATTAGATATAAGATGTGGAAAAATCAGAACCATCTTACACTTAGTAATACAGTAATCTAATTGAGTGGGTGATAATAGGCTTATATTAATTATCAGAAAACATCTTTGGGCTACATGTTTTGGGATCATCCAAAACAACATAAAGTTAATCGCGTGGTTTTGCTTCCAAATCATGTAGACAAGGAAGTCACTAATGAAGTGATATGTCTTCAGCTTGAAGCTATAAAACTTGACCACTTCCTCTACTCTTTCCATCCATGTAAACTTTAAAATCCTCATCGAATTCAACTAACTTATCAACTTTGGAAAATCCTCTTCTTTCACTCTTAAAACACAACAACATGATCAGCACAAAGAAACTTATCAAGATGGCACGAAAGTGGCAAAAGATAGCAGCTGCCGGCAGGAAGAAGATCTCTTGGCCACATCCTGTGGCGAATGAGGGTCACTTTGTTGTCTACACAGCAGATGGAAGACGATACATGATTCCTTTGGCATATTTGAAGAGCGAAATTTTCATAGAGCTCCTTAAAATAGCCGAGGAAGAATTTGGAGTTACAAGTTCAGGGCCAATTACATTGCCTTGTGATTCACATTTTATGCAGTATGTGATCTCTATGATCCAAAGATGTGTAGCAGATGACTTGAAGAAGGCATTGATCATGTCCTTAGCTAGCTGCAGATACTCATCGCTGTCAAATGAACATCAAGAACGAAATCCACAAATGTTTCTATGTAGTTTCTAGAAAGAAAAAAAAAAAAAAAGAGTTATGTTACTCCTTTTTTGTACAAAATATATACAGCAGAAAATTTTAACTAGAATGTTAATAAAATTTCAGAAAGAAGCTAATCAGAAAATTTTAGTCTCTCTGTTGTGCAAGTATATGTTTTCCCTTATTTACTGTTGCTTATTTTGCTGTTTGATATGAATTGCACTTGAACAAAATGGAATAACGTACAATATTTGGGATTCTCATACTCCATCGGCCCCTAAATAATATGCCATATTTCTATTTTGGACCATCTCAAAATGGTAGATTCCTATCTCAATTAAGCAAGTTAATCTTTGTACAATCTCATTATGTCAGCTCTAAATTACGACTTTCAAAGAAAGGTTACATTAGCATTGTAGAGATGTAAACATGTTGACAGTGACGGATAGGTGTGGTAAATTAACTCAATGCATGAACCACCCAAAGGATTGATGAGCAAATTTAACAGTGACAGAACATTTGGATTTTCCTTATTTGAAAGTAGCTATATAATTTAAAGTAACTTTCACCTGTCATCACATGCTTATGCTTCATATTGAACCCTACTCACAACATAACAACCATAAATGCTTAGAATACAAAGGCTTTATTTTCAAGTCCATCAGTTGCCACTCTTGCCAGTTGTTAAATAAAAGTGTATGTCTATATCAGTTTGATCTGCAATGGCCCTTCAGAATCTCATTGCAGCTGGAATTGCTGAAAGATGTTCATGACTCGACCTTTCGGAGAGATGATCAACTTGACTTCAACTTTCAACTATTGAAAAACAAGCTTATTAGTCCTACCAATAAGCAACTTGCATAAACTATTATCAGGTGACATATTTGGCCTACATTATCTGAGTCCTGAAATCTGTCAAAACGTTTGCCATATTGAACAGTAAATCAGACACGCCCACCTGAATATCCTGTTTATAAGTATATCCACATGAACTTGCCTCCAAAGAATGAATACAAGGCAGTCCCACCATGACGCGATATGCCTTTAGCTTGGAGCTATAAAACTTGATCATTCTTCAAAGCCTTTCTCAACCCAACACACCTAACTTCCTCTTTACATTCCAAAGCCTTTCTCAGCTTAAACAAACTTTCTACATACTTTCTCTTTCTGAAAACCAACAAAATGATCAGTACAAAAAAACTTGTCAATATGGCAAGGAAATGGCAAAGACTAGCAGCTGCAGGCAGAAGGAGAATTTCTTGGCCAAGGCCAAGACCAGTGGCCGAGAAAGGTCACTTTGTTGTTTACACAAGTGATAAAAAACGGTTTATGATTCCTTTGGCATATCTTGACAGCGAAATTTTCAGAGAGCTCTTCAGAATAGCCGAAGAAGAATTTGGAGTGTCAAGTTCAGGACCAATCATGCTGCCTTGTGATTCAATTTTCATGGAGTATGCGATCTCTATGATCCAAAGACATGTAGCTGAGGACTTAGAGAAGGCATTGATCATGTCCTTAGCTAATTGCAGATACTCATCATTGTCGCATGAGAATCAAGAACATATTAGTCAACAATTGCTTATCTGCAGTTTCTAGATTTTTATTTTTTTTTAATTTTTTGGTAGCAGATATGTACAATACAATTTTGCCTGAACAGATAATACAAATTCTTATATTATTTCAAATTAACTGTTCCACTTTCGTAACGATCTGCCCTTCTCCTGTACCTCTTCATAGTGCATGGTTTAGATTGCAAATGATCAACAAAAGAATAGCCTAGGGAGTTTTGGTCAACTACTTCATTCTAAAGGCCCAATAGTCATAACCATATACTGATAATTAACAAGTAGCTTAAATTTGAAAGAAATCAGAAAGTAACATAGATTTATACAAGACATAAGCTCTACAAAGGGATGAGATTGAGACGAGATTCAGTCCTAAGTCTTGGGTATTACCTTATAAGACCTTTTTAAAAATCAGCATTAGCACCAACAAGATTGATGGGCAAATTCTTAGACAAGTTATACAATGGAAAGCGCTTTTATCTTTTTGCAATATGTCCTCCCTGCAATGTGAACAACCTTTATTACCCGGATAATTCAGATGTAAACAACCTTGATCATTGCTGAACCAAGGGTGTTCTTTCAGTTGGTGAATGAATTGACATAGAATTAATCAAATTGATAGTCTAATCTTAACAAAACTTCTGGTCATATGTTGCACTTATCAGCTGCAAGCCTGCAATGACATCCTCTGGCGCCAGCACAGATCAGACTGGATATAGAGAATTTTACACAGTAGCTCATCAATCCTGTCATGGATCATACATATTAAACTACATAACTCGAACTCTTTGTTCAGGTTGAAGTTACTTTATCCAGCACTTGGATGGATATATGATTTCAATCCTTCAAATAAAATCAGAACACACGAAGCTCTCTGAAATCCAAATTGCAGGATATTTCTTTGTGAAAAGTGATCATTTGCAGTTTATACCGTGAACAATTAAGTAAATTATAGAGAAGGGAATATGATTGCAAATTTGCAAGAGCAAAACTGTTTGGATTGAAAGACTGTTTTCTGAACTTTCATTAACTTTCTAAGTAAATTTATACTGTGTATATGTTCAAAAAGTACAAAAGAGGAAACAAAATTTTTCTAGAAACTACATACAAACATTTGTGGATTAGTTTGTTCTTGATGTTCATGTGACGATGAGTATTTGCAGCTAGTTAAGGAGGTAATTAATGCCTTCTCCAATTCCTTGGCTACACATCTTTGGACCACAGAGATTGTGTATTCCATAAATTTCGAATCACATGTCAGCCTAATTGGCCCTGAACTTGTTACTCCATACTCTTCCTCGGCTATTCTGAAGAGCTCTATGAAAATCTCACTCTTGAGATATGTCAAAGGTATCATAAACCTTTTACCATCTGCTGTGTAGACAACAAAGTGACCCTCATTAGCCATTAGTTGCGGCCAAGAGATCCTCTTCCTGCTGGCTGCTGCTATCTTACGCCATTTTCTTGCCATCTTGAGAAGCTTCTTTGTGCTGATCATGTTGTGGGTTTATGAGTGATGGAAAGAGAGTTTTTTTATGAGAAAGAAATTATAAAATCAAATAGATCGAAGAAATAGCTGCTTACTTGTTGAAAAGAGCTGAGGAAATGCTCAAGTTTTATAGCTTCAAACTGATGACAGAGCATTTCATTGGTGACAGCCTTGTTCTCAGCAGTTGGAAACAGAACCACGCGGTAATAAAGTTTGAGTTGCATTGGATGGTCCCAAAACAATGCAGCCCAAAAATGTCTCTTGATAAATTATATGAAGTATGACCCTCTTCTCAACCACTCAATCAATCTGCATAATATTGTCGTTCTCTGAAGCATATGGTGACCCAAACATCTGCATTTAATTAGTTGGTAAGTACATGGAAAATATTGAAGCAGGAAGTTTACAGTATAATAAAATATGTGGTTGCCAAGAACATTTTTCAATTATCAAGCAACATGTTTGGCCTATATGTTCTAAGCTCTGTCAGATAATAGTTGTCTGAAGGAAAAGTATACCAGACAAGGCCACCTGAATATCCACATGACTTTGCTTCGAAAGAAGGAAAACAAGGCTGATAATGATGAAGGGATATGTCTTCAGGTTGGAGCTATAAAACTTGATCATTTTCCAAAAGCCTTCTCAACTAAGCACAGCTAAATTCCTCACTAAAATTCAAATCAATTTCTCATCTTTAAGAAAACTCCCTACTTTCTCCACTTAAAAAACCCCTCAGCAGTATGATCAGTACTAAGAAGCTCATTAAAATGGTGAGGAAGTGGCAAAAATTAACAGCTGCAAGGAGAAGAAGGATTTCCTGGTCAAGACAAGTGACTGAAAAGGGTCACTTTATCGTTTATACAAGCGATGTAAAATGGTTCATGATTCCTTTGACATACCTCAAGAGCGAGATTTTCACAGAGCTCCTAAAAATGGCAGAGGAAGAGTTTGGAGTAGAAAGTTCAGGGCCAATTATGTTGCCGTGTGATTCAATTATCATGGAGTACGCAATCTCCATGATTCAAAAAAATGTTGCAGAAGACTTGGAGAAGGCATTAATCATGTCCTTAGCCACCTGTAGACACTCCTCATTGTCAAATAATTATCAAGTACAAACTAATCAACAATTGTTCATCTGTAGTTTTTAGGCACATTTCCTAGCTTTTTTGTAGAAAGCATACAGTTGTACAAATTTTCCAAGAGAAAGTTAATGAAATATTTAGCAAAATTTCATATCAAACAGTTTGATTATTTTAGCAACAGTTTTTCAAGGCACATGGTAACTGCAAATGATCAACAATATCATACAAAAACAAAGAAACATATAAGAACTTACAAGAAAAGAGGTTTTAATGCAGTAAATATGAACTAAATGAGAAATGACTGTCTAATAACAATATTGTGGCAGATATGCTATGTTTTAATTATTAACCATGCGGCATCTACATGAGAGTTGATCTTCAATCAAGAATGATACCAAACAATAAAAAAAAATTAATTTCACCATTACAAATTTCATGTCTTAAAATCATTCTTGCACAAAGACCAGCTGGTAGATCTATTGTACATTTCATAATCAGAAGAAATTAGGTGCATATGATAACACAATCAGCATATATGTTGACCTGAAGTATAACAGCAGCATGTCACGACTCACACATTCCCACCCCTCACTAGGGCCACAAGGCAGCAAGTTATAATCGTGGCCAGGGGGAATGCCCTTGGTGCATGGCTAGCAAGGCCAGAACACCCTTCCCCCTATAGAGCTTTATTTAGCTCCCTGCCATTTACCCTAGTGAACACGCCCATGACAGTAACACAATAATGGGCCATGGGCCGGGCTTAATGGACTCCAAATGAGCCCAAACTTGGTGGCCCATCGTTTTTGGGCCCAATAAAGATGATGGTGCAGCCAGAATTTGAAGATGAGGCCCACAACTTTCCAGAATGCACGTAGAGGTTCATGGTGCATCCGGAGGTCTCTAGAAGCCTCTAGGGACAACTTGTACATACTTGAGATGCTAGAACTTTGTAGATGGTTCTAGAATATTAGAAAGTGTATAGAGTTCTCTAGAACCCTCCATTTGAGGAGGTTAGGAAGCATCTAGGTTAGAACACTCTAGAAAGGGGTGTTGCCTATAAATAGGAAACCTCCCACCCATTCTTGCTCATGTACAAACACTTGTATTCTCTCAAGCATTTATAAAAAGCCTTCTTCCTTAAAGCTTTCTCATATATTCTCACTTGTGCTTTCCAAGCAAACCACACTTAACTAGCAACATCAATATTTAGCTTTGCTAAGCAATTGGGAGCCTTGACTAGTAGTCTAACGGGTGGTGACTCTAGTAGGCCGCGTGCAAAAGACTAAGGGAATTAGTCAGCGCGTGACACGTGGTATCAGAGCAACGTCGATCGTAGGGGCGGTCTGTTGCGTTTGTGTGCTAGCTGTTGTTAGAAGTTAAGTGCGGAAGTCAGGAGTATGGCACAAAAGGACGATGCCCATGCGTCCGTTGTGGAAGAGGGAAACACCAGTAAGAAAGCTAGCCGTACCACCTTGCTTGAGGAGAAGATGGTTAGCATGGTCCAGGCCATCTCGGAACACCGAGATAGCATTAATGACCTCAACGAACAGTACGATGATGTTGAGGCTAGGGTCAAGGGTCTTGAGTCCGGGACTGAAGAGGCGAAGGTGGAGACTCAGTCCTTGGTCAATCAAGTTGCTGGAGATATTAGGGCAGAGATGGCCCAACTGAAGGATCTCCTCATGTCCACCATTGACTCGGTGGAAAAGAGGATCGACTCGATGAAAGAGAAGATCGAGTCCTTGCACGCCGACGTAGTGCTGTGCAAGTCGGCAATGGCCGGGAGTGCCGCCGTTCGGGATGGACCTAGGTTGAAGGTCCCCGAACCGCCAAAGTACAACGGAAGGCGCGATGCTAAGGAGCTTGAGAACTTCATATGGAGCATCGAGAAGTACTTTGGCGCGATGCATTTGGACGATGATGCATCAAAAATCAACACCGCTACCATGTACTTGGGGGATGATGTCATCCTTTGGTGGAGAAGGCGCGAGACCGACATCAAGAAGGGTGTTGTCCAACTCCTGGGACGAGTTCAAGAGCGACCTCAAGAAGCAATTCTATCCAGAAAATTCGGAAGAGGTAGCCATAAAGAAGCTGCGTGGGTTCAAGGAGTACATCGAACAGTTCACTTCACTCATGCTAGAGGTGACCGAGATGCCGGAGAAGACTCAGCTTCTCTACTTTATGGATGGTCTACAACGATGGGCTGAGCAAGAGTTGAAGCGCCGAAACGTCCAAACTCTCGCTGATGCCATCGCTGCTGCCGAGTCCTTGTACGAGTTCAAGCAAGAACCAAAGAAGGAGAGAGGCAACAAGAGTAGCGGTAACAAGGGGAAAGGTGGGGGAGCCAAGCCCACCGAACGAAGCCACAACGGTAGCAAATCGTCTGAGAGGAAGGACAAGGACAAGGAGAAGTCCCACTCAGATCGGAAGTCAAAGCGCTTAGATTGCTTCCTATGCGGGGGTGATCACTGGGCTAGGGAGTGCCCACAAAGGAGGAAGCTAAACGCTATTATGGCTACATCACCTGGGGAATCGTCAGGGGACGAGGCACACATGGGGACGTTGCGCCTATGCAATAACGTGAAGGCCACGGTGGAGGAGCCAAAGGAGGACAAGGACCTGGCCAAGGTATGTACGCTACCCCGGGACAAAAAGCCATATCTTATGTTTGTTGAAGCCATAGTTGGGGGAAAGGCCTCAAAAGCATTAGTCGACACTGGTGCTACCCACAACTTTATGACGCTCAAAGAAGCCACAAGGTTGGGTCTCAAGTTCACCAAGAAGAGGGGTTCTTTGAAAACGGTGAACACTATTCCAACACCCATCCATGGTGTGGCTCGTGGAGTCCCACTTCAGTTGAGTGAATGGAAGGGGGCAGTAGATTTCACAGTCGTCGACATGGATGATTTCAACTTGGTGCTAGGATTGGAGTTTATGGACTCAATAAGGCCTTTCACGTTCGAAGAGGATGGCTCGCTGACCATCAAGAGGGGACAAGGAGCATGGTCAATCCCCGTTGCTCGAGAGGAAGCCGAAGCCAAGATGTTGTCCTCAATACAACTCGACAAGGGCATCAAGAGGAAGCAGGCAACCTTTTTGGCAACAATGGTTGAGGAGAAACCCGAGGTGCAACAGGAGATCCCAGTGGAAGTTTCTAGGGTTCTCAAGGAGTTTGAAGATGTCATGCCTCCGGAGCTACCCAAAAGGCTTCCCCCTAGAAGGGAAGTAGATCATGAGATCGAGCTGGAGCCTGGGGCAAGGCCTCCAGCCATGGCACCTTACAGGATGGCCCCACCGGAGCTTGAGGAGCTACGGAAGCAGTTGAAGGAATTGCTCGATGCTGGTTTTATTCAGGCATCTAAGGCACCATACGGGGCACCTGTTTTGTTCCAGCGCAAACATGATGGAAGCCTACGCATGTGCATAGACTACCGGGCGTTGAACAAGATCACCGTGAAGAACAAATACTCCATTCCCCTTGTGGCAGATTTGTTCGATCGATTGGGGAACGCCAGGTACTTTTCTAAACTTGATCTGAGGTCGGGGTACTGGCAAGTACGCATCGCCGAAGGGGATGAGCAGAAAACGGCATGCGTAACTCGCTATGGATCCTTTGAGTTCTTGGTAATGCCTTTCGGCCTTACCAACGCTCCGGCAACCTTTTGCACTTTGATGAATAAGATCTTCCAGCCTTTCTTGGATAAGTTTGTGGTCGTCTATCTAGACGACATTGTGGTGTATAGTAACACTTTGCAGGAGCATGTGCAACATCTGGCGCAAGTGTTCAAGGTTCTACGGGAGAACGAGCTATATGTCAAAAAGGAGAAATGCTCGTTTGCCCAAGATGAGGTGTCTTTCTTAGGGCACCATATCAAGGCTGGCAAGATTATGATGGAGCATGACAAGGTACGCTCCATCCAAGAATGGGGTGCGCCAAGGAATGTGTCCGAGCTACGGTCCTTCCTTGGCCTTGCCAACTACTATCGGCGATTCATTCGAAGCTACTCGGCCAAGGCAGCACCTTTGACCGATTTGCTCAAGAAGAAGGCCCAGTGGTGTTGGGACGAGAACTGTCAAAGGGCATTTGATGGGTTGAAGAAGACAGTCACGGAAGAACCCGTCCTTGCTTTGCCTGATTACTCAAAGCCATTCGAGCTGCATACGGATGCCTCCGATTTTGCCATAGGTGGGGTCCTTATGCAAGAAGGGCATCCCATTGCCTACGAGTCTCGCAAGCTAAACGATACGGAGAGGAGATATCCTGTCCATGACAAGGAGATGACGGCCATAATTCATTGCTTGCGGATATGGAGGCACTACTTGCTTGGGAGTCGGTTCACCATCTACACCGACAACGTTGCCACAAGCTATTTTCAGAATCAGAAGAAATTAAGCCCCAAGCAAGCTCGTTGGCAAGACTTCTTGGCCGAATTTGACTATGCCATGGTGTATAAGCCAGGCAAAGTAAACTTTGTCGCCGATGCTCTAAGCCGCAAGGCTACCCTTGCATCCATTAGTCGCGCCACGAGCACCATCTTGGATAGAATCAAGGATGGTCTTACTCAAGATCCTATGGCTAAGGGGCTCATGAACCTAGCCAAGGAAGGCAAAAGCCGAAGGTTTTGGGTAGAGGATGGGATCCTCTATACTGCTGGGCGACGACTATTCGTGCCTAAGTGGGATAATCTTAGGCGAGATATCATGAAAGAGTGCCATGACTCTAAGTGGGCTGGTCATCCTGGCGTCTTACACACATTAGCACTCTTGGAGGTGAATTACTATTGGCCACACCTGGGGCAAGATGTGGAGGCCTATGTAAAGACTTGTCTTGTGTGCCAACAAGACAAGGTCGAACAACGCGTGCCGGCTGGGTTACTTGAGCCACTTCCTATACCTGAAGGGCCATGGGAGAGCGTATCAATGGATTTCATTTCAGCCCTACCCAAGTCAGATGGGTATGGCTCGATCATGGTGGTGGTCGGTCGTTTTTCCAAATATGGCACATTCATACCGGCACCAAGGGATTGCACAGCCGAGCAAGCAGCCCATCTATTCTTCAAGAACGTGGTAAAATATTGGGGCTTGCCTCGGAGCATCATCAGTGATCGAGACCCAAGGTTCACAGCAAAATTCTGGACAGAATTGTTCAAGTTGCTTGGGTCCGGACTCCACTTCTCAACAAGCTTTCACCCCCAGACGGAAGGGCAAACCGAAAGGGTGAATGCCTTGCTGGAGCTATATCTCAGGCACTATGTGAGTGCCAACCAGCGAGATTGGGCTAAGTACATGGATGTTGCCCAATTCTCCTTCAACCTACAAAGATCCGAGGCTACGGGCAAAAGTGCCTTCGAAATTGTCATGGGACAGCAACCCTTGACTCCACAAGGGATCGCCTCGGGGTACACAGGGAGCAGCCCAGCTGCTTACAAGCTTGCACGAGGGTGGCACGAACAACTCGATATATCCAAGGCTTACTTGGACAAGGCAGCCAAGAAGATGAAGAAGTGGGCTGACAAGCATAGGCGCCCAATGGAGTTCCAAGTAGGAGACTTGGTGATGGTGAAGCTGCTACCCCAACAATTCAAGGTCTTCCGACAGGTGCACAAGGGTCTTGTGCGAAAGTATGAGGGACCATTCCCCGTACTAAGGAAGGTTGGGAAAACATCATACAAGCTTGAGTTACCCCCAAGGTTGAAGATTCATCCGGTGTTTCACGTAAGCATGCTCAAGCCCTATCAAGCTGACCATGAAGATCCAACAAGGGGCGAGTCACAAAGGGCGCCCACGGTTGTGGTGGCATCCTTCGAGAGGGACATCGAGACAATTGAGGCCAAGAGGCTTATAAGAAAGTGAGGGGTCCCAAGCTACAACGAGTATCTTGTTCGTTGGAAGGGTCTCCCGGATAGTGAAGCAACGTGGGAAAAAGAAGGGGACCTATGGCAATTCCAAGACAAGATAGCTAAGTTCGTAGGGCGGCCTTGACGGGGACGTCAAGACTTGGGTGGGGGAGCATGTCACGACTCACACATTCCCACCCCTCACTAGGGCCACAAGGCAGCAAGTTATAATCGTGGCCAGGGGGAATGCCCTTGGTGCATGGCTAGCAAGGCCAGAACACCCTTCCCCCTATAGAGCTTTATTTAGCTCCCTGCCATTTACCCTAATGAACACGCCCATGACAGTAACACAATAATGGGCCATGGGCCGGGCTTAATGGACTCCAAATGAGCCCAAACTTGGTGGCCCATCGTTTTTGGGCCCAATAAAGATGATGGTGCAGCCATAATTTGAAGATGAGGCCCACAACTTTCCAGAATGCACGTAGAGGTTCGTGGTGCATCCGGAGGTCTCTAGAAGCCTCTAGGGACAACTTGTACATAATTGAGATGCTAGAACTTTGTAGATGGTTCTAGAATATTAGAAAGTGTATAGAGTTCTCTAGAACCCCCTCCATTTGAGGAGGTTAGGAAGCATCTAGGTTAGAACACTCTAGAAAGGGGTGGTGCCTATAAATAGGAAACCTCCCACCCATTCTTGCTCATGTACAAACACTTGTATTCTCTCAAGCATTTATAAAAAGCCTTCTTCCTTAAAGCTTTCTCATATATTCTCACTTGTGCTTTCCAAGCAAACCACACTTAACTAGCAACATCAATATTTAGCTTTGCTAAGCAATTGGGAGCCTTGACTAGTAGTCTAACGGGTGGTGACTCTAGTAGGCCGCGTGCAAAAGACTAAGGGAATTAGTCAGAGCGTGACAAGCAACCCTCATTCATTGTCAGATATAGCTTTACATTATGATATACTTCGTATTACAGAAGTAATCTCAGTTTTAGTAGGTTAGCAGTATATCTTGCACGGTATAAAAAAGATCAATGCCTAGTACACTACAACCATGCAGATTAATTAGATACCGTCCCCAAATAAAAGTCTCATTTCACCCTTGTCTCTAAATAAAGGTCTCATTTCACCTTTAACAATTTATTAATTCACTTTAAATTAACTAAACCCCATTATCTTGTTTTTTAATTTTACCTTTAATCAACCAAACCCCACTATCTTCTTATTACATTCACCGACATAAAAACTTGTGCAAAAGCCAAACGAGAGTTTTATTTGGGGACAGAGGGAGTATAATATATAAAGCAATTGAAGATAACTCAAAAAAGGGTAAGAGTGTACAACCACCAATTCTAAACACACTAAAAATTTATTTGAGTGGCTGAAGAGGCTTACATCAATAATATCAAGAGACATCTTTGGACTACATGTTTTGAAATAACCAGATAATTCAAAGCAACAAGACCATAGCCACATGGTTTAGCATCCAAATTATGAGAACAAGTCTAGCCACCAATAATTTGAAATATCTAAAGTTGAAGCTATAAAACCTAACCATTTCCATAACTCATCCCAACTAAGAACTGCTAAATTCCTTGTTTAATTTGATTTCAAAACCTTCTCATCTTCGAAATTCTCTCATTGTCTTCTCAAAATTCCCAACATGATCAGCACAGAGAAGCTTATCAAGATGGCAAAAAAGTGGCAAAAAATAGCAGCCGCTAGCAGGAAAAGGATCTCCTGGCCACTACCAGTGGCTAATGAGGGTCATTTTGTAGTCTACACAACTGATGGTAGACAATTTATGATTCCTTTAACATATTTGAAGAGTGAGCTTTTCATAGAGCTCCTTAGAATAGCCGAGGAAGAATTTGGAGTTACAAGTTCAGGGCCAATTACACTGCCTTGTGATTCAAAATTAATGGAGTATGTGATCTCTATGATTCAAAGATGTGTAGCAGACGGCTTGAAGAACGCAGTAATCATGTCCTTAGCTAGCTGCAGTTACTCATCACTGTCACATAGATGTCAAGAACAAACTAATCCACAGTTTGTATGTAGTTTCTAGGGAAATTAAAATTTTCTGTTCCCCTTTTTTGTACAAAACATATACTACAATTATTCTTAGAAATTAAAGGTGATGAAGATCCAGAAAAATTGTTCAATTTTAACAGTTTTGCCATGGAATTAATTTCCCCCTTCACTTCATTTTGGCATTTGACATTTTCTAGAAATGTAAAACAGAGAAATAGCCAACAATTTTAGAAAATTTACACAGAGTAGATTTTCAATCTATTAGAAGTGTCAAAGACTCAAATATTGCATAACAAAAATATTTAAAAAAATTTGAAGAAATAAAGAAAAAAGAAACAATAAATAGAATATTTCAAGCAACATAGGTAAAATGTCAACATAAAAAGACATTCGCATTTTCCATATTTGAATGACTTTAATTTATAACATGCACATGCTTGTGCTTTGAGTTGAACCACCCTATCTACACACCACAAAAAAGAACTAAATATATGATAGGGAATTTTATATATTTTTACAGTTCCTATCACACAGCAAGCTCAGCTCAAGTTCTACACAATTACGAATTACCATAGGAATAAAAAACTTTAAGTACCATTAAATTGCAAAAAACAAAGACAAGTTCGCAGATGCTGCAAATAAAAAGTTCGCAATCTTTACCTTGAATTAAAAATTTTGCATCATGTTTTGTATAAATATACTAGGTACTGGTGGAGCAAAATTTTTTTTTATAAGAATCAGGATATTCTAAGCCATACTTGTTCAGAAGAACGAAAGGCTAGGCTTGCTCAGAACGACATTGACTACTCCACCCTTATCATAGGTCCTCGTCAAGAATTAACTGCAGATACAAGGGAAAGGGGTTAATACAATGATCACCAAGCATATAAACTTTGAGACTGATAAAACAAATTGCAGTAGGTACGATACTCTAACATGTATGCGACCGGACTAATCAAGAATCACTGCAACCCCCATTTTAGCTCACTTACCTAGTAAGCCAGACAGGAAAACTTGATTTCAGGTTACTCCAAACTTGTTCATCAGTGCACAACCAAATTAAATCCCAATCAACAGGACACTTTCTCTTTGAGAATTTGAGATGTGTACATTTATCAATTATTTTTTCTAATCTTATTATTTAATAGCATTGAATTATCACCCTCTCAACAACTATCAGTTAATCACAAAATGATAGGAGAAGCTTCTAGAAATCAAAACGTACTTCAATATCTTGAACATAGCATGAATAGTCACAGCTCGATGTTAAGTGTCAGAGGTGAAATGTTAGTGAGAGTCCTTTTTTTGCAAAAAAACCAAGCATTTACTAACCTAATGCTGCAAATTATATTTAGGCTTCTTAAAATAAGACATGGCAGAATGTTCACCTAGTTTTCACAATGAATTTTCAGAATTTATTTTACAATCGAACCAGCAACAATGACCCTGGAGCTGCAATCTAGTCATCAATCAGGTGTGCACACAAGCACTACCAGGATTTCTCTAGTCCAGTATATATTAGAAAGCAAACACATAACCATACCAGATAAAATCTTGTTGAAAAAACATATAGAAGTAGATGGATCAATGAAAAACAATGGCTAATACTACATTAACTGAACAGAAAAGTGAGTTGATACCTAAAGGTGGGGGGCAAAATAAAAATGACAAAATGGCTATGCTAGCTGATAATAAGTAAGACAACAAATAACCAGCACAACTAGCAGAGCAATTATGACCTCCTACAAGTTAAAAAAGGATCACAGATTATTGTATTAGACAAAATTTTGTAAACTAGTTTGCTGTGAATGCTAATAAACGTACTGGAATGTGATTGATTCAAGATAAGGATAGACTAGGTAGAATTTTGCATTATGTTAAGTTCTAAAATAAATTAAAAGGAAAGTTTGAGATGGCACCCGGAGGCAGAGGAAAAAAACAAAAAAAAAAAGAAACCGTGGGCAGAGGAACACACAAAATAGAAATTGAGAGTGAAAATATATATGGCAATCTGTCTTAACGCAGAATGAATGGATTGGAGCGCACCTACTCATCTAATTTTAATGTTAGGGATGCGTTGAATCTTGGGCCAGTCCTCCCCATCTGGTTCTTTGCATCTTTCTTCTAGCATCCAACTATCTCAAGGTTCTGAAGGGAGGCGAGGTTCCGCATTGATTCAGGAAGTGATTTAATGGCCTCGCAATATTCAATAGACAGGGAACGGAGACAGTGTTGGAGGGATTTCCAAGGCATGCCGTCATCATCGTCCTAGTCTTCAGAGAAGCTAAGTTAATCATTGTCTTCAAAATCAAATGACTCCAAGGCAGTGAGATGCTCCAACCCCCTTCTTCCAAGTCTCCTCAAATTTGAGCAATCAAAAATTCGAAGGCTTCTTAGGTAAGAAGTGTATTTGTATTTCCGGAATACATCCCCATATTTCTGATAAACTCTCCACCTTCTTATTCCCGCATATGTGGAGTTCATTGACCGGAGAGTTTATTAAGTTGAGAAGACCCACGTCATCTATAAGCAGCTCCCTTAATATGACGTCACCTTGTGAATTCCAAAACAGTCATCATCTTTCTTTGAGACGAAGTTAACTTAGGGCACCCAATGACAACCACTGTGGAGAGACGAGGAAATGTGAAGCTACTCCTCAAGATACGCTCATCATCATCCTCATCCTCTACCAACTCCTCCTCCCTCCACCATCCTTTCAAACTACCGAGATCGTTAATGTAGAGTGACTCAAGGGAGGGGAAGAATGTCGTAAAATCTTCTCCTTCATTGGCATTGTTGCTGCTTGTATTCTCCATATATTCCAGCTTATGTAGAGATTCAAGTCTCAGTGATTTCAGATTACGCAGTTTCCTCAACGATGGTAATTGCTCCAAGTTGATACAACGATAAAACCAGATCTCGACAAGAAGTGGGAGGGAGAGTGCCCAGTTATCCAGTGCTCTACCCCACCTTGGAATTGTCGTACCCATGTATCTCCACAAGCTGAATATCTTGAGATTTGAAGGTGGCTCTAGCTTTTCCATCACATCTTCCCACTCTAAACATCCATCATCTTCATCAGCATTGTCAACAAACATTATATGAACCTCAGTGAGATATTTCAAACCCTTCAAATACTCTTCTCCTCCATCATTCTTGTAAAACTTGCCGATTTTGATCATTATGCCACCTTTCAAGTTGGTCAGGGGTTTAAGGTCTTTGAGCTCTCCCATACATTGCTCCTCTGTTGAAACTCTCTTTTCCATACCCACCACAAACAATGGTAGCACCCTAAGATTAGTCAACTTACCCATGCCCGAAGGCAAACTTATATTCAAGCATCTAAGATTAGTCCATTTATCCATGCAAGGCATACCAGTCAAATTACAATTAGCTAAATCCAAATGCCTAAGTTTTATCAATTCGCTAAATTTTTTTGGCAACTCCGTCAATTGTATGCAATAACTTAAATCTAATGTCTGCAAGTTATGTAGTCTACTAATAGAATCAGATAGTCCCTCTAAATTACAATTAAAAGAAAGGTCAAGATACCTTAAATGCAGTAGCTTACCAATTGAATCAGGCAACCGTACTATACCCGGACCCCGCAAAACCAACACCCTTACACACATCCAACTGTCAATATGTGCATTCACCGGATAACCTAATTCACCCCATGCCCATGATGAAATAAACGAACGGATCTTACTCTTCAATGAGTAATTTTGTGAAAAGGTACCACGACCAAAATACACATGACGAACTTTATCACCCAATTTGGTTGTATTAGAACTCCCAATGCCTATTTCCTCCCTCCCCACTTCTAGAGCAACATCATGCATCAAGTCATGCATTTTCACGTACTCAATGTCACCATATCTATCCTTCTCTACATCCTGAAAGAAACATCTGCGTACCAAAATCATGAAATGCTCCTCTGCTGCATCTTCTATGCTTTGATCTCTGTCCAGCGACACAATGTAGCCTTGTGCTATCCAAAGGCTAATCAACTCCTTCCTTTCGAGTCTATAATCTTTGGGAAACAGTGCACAATAGCTAAAACAATTCTTCAAAGAGGGTCTAAGGTTGTGATAACTAAGTTTTAGTATAGACATAATTTCATTATCACCTTTTCCAATTCCAGCAAATCCGCTGTGCTCAAATGTCTGCCACTTATTCACAGGCTGCCCAAATAGAAGGCTTCCTACCGCCTTTATAGCAAGCGGGATATTGTAGCATTTTTCAACAATCTTCTTCCCAATTTCAACTAATTCAAGATGACTTGCGTGCTCGTGTTCCCCTTTATCAAATGCTACAGACTCGAACAAGAGCCGCGAATTCTCTTCAGATAAACCATGCAGCTTGTGCGTATGTTTTTCTCCAATAATCTTTGCAGTCATCTCCGAACGTGTAGTCACCACAATCCGACTACCCTGTTGACCCAGCGTTAAGAACCTACACAGATTACGCCATTTCTCACAATCTTCATTCCATACATCATCAAGAACAAGCAAGTACTTCTTTCCTCTTAACTGCTCTTGAAATTGCTTTTGCACCAACTCCATTGAGGAGGTATCGTCAGGCCTTTTACCAGAAACTAATTCTAGAATTTTGCAAAGAATAACCTTGACATCAAATTGCTCTCCATCTTGATCAGACACACAAACCCACAACCTCAAATTGGAATCCGAAAACTCTGCTACAACCCTTTCACCGTTATACACAAACTGGCAAGAGCAGTTTTACCCAATCCTCCAACTCCAACAATAGTCACAAAACGAATACTATCATGAACACCGCTCGGACTTGACAACATATTAATGACAACCTTTTTATCATCCTCCCTCCCAATAATATCCCCTGTATTCACGTAGGAGCAAGTTTCCTCCCTCCTTCTACAAATAGGATTATAGTCCACACTAAGCCCAAATTTGTGATGGTTACTAACAATAGTATCCAACTGCTTCTTAACGTCCTTAACCTGACGAGACATCCTATGAGCTTGACTCACCTCCCTTTTCTTATCAGAAAAAAAGCGGCGTACCTTTCTAAGGAATTTATCATCCCTGTTGGCATCAAGCAGCTTGAGCTCAGCAAGAGTGAAGAACTCATCGAACAGATCATCAGCATCATAAACAGCAGCTTGAGGTCCTCGATATAGCCTCGTGTTGCGTGGGAGAGTTCACGCTTGGAGTCAGCATCAAGGAGCACATTCTTGATGGCTGAGACAGTTTTGTTGAGGTCTTCAAGTTGAGATCTGTATCCCGAATTCATTTTCGTTTTTAAAATAAGATGAGTTAGACGACCAGCAATCACTCGCGCGACGGGGGAAGAGGAGGGGAAAGGGAGGGGGCCGGCGGCCGCCGACATACCTTTCGGGGACCGGCGGCATGGCTGGGCTGGTAGCTGCTGGGGTGGAGGCTGGGGTTTGGTTTTTTTTTTTTTTAAAACAGACCAATCAGAAGTTGACATGTGTCAAGTGGTGGGGTTGAAATGACATTTGGTGGTATTGTACTTAAGCTTAGTGGCATTTGGTGAATTTTGAAAAACTTGATGGCATTTAGTGAATTTTAAAACTACTCAGTGACATTTGGTAAAATAGCCGTCAAATTATTTACCAAACAAAGCTTCTAGGGCGAAACATTGGACAACGTTTTATACCCTGGTTAAAAAAAAAAAAAATCAAAGTGTAAAACAATGTCCGACTTTTTTACATGTTGACTTTTTTTTTTTAAATTTCGTACTTTTTAATTTTAAAATAAATAAAAAAAATTACAAATTACGAAATTGTTTTTAAAAAAAAAAGTCAACATGTAAAACGTTTGAGACAGCGTTTTACACATTGAATTTTTTTTTTAAGAAAAACAGCCTAAACAGGGTATAATACGCTGTGTGAGACAGCATTTTACCCTAGAAGTTTAGTTTGGTAAATAGTTTGGTCACGAGTCTACTTTACAAAATAGTTTTATAATAAAGCTTACTTTGGAAAAAAAATCCGAAATCTTCAGAGAGCTGTTCAAAATCGCTGAAGAAGAGTTTGGAGTAGCAAGTTCAGGGCCAATTATGCTACCTTGTGATTCAAATTTCATGGAGTATGCAATCTCCATGATTCAAAGACGTGTAGCTGAAGACTTGGAGAAGGCATTGATCATGTCCTTGGCTAACTGCAAATACTCATCATTGTTACAACATCAAGAACAAAGCAATCAACAATTACTTATTTGTAGTTTCTAGAAACCAATTTTGTTCTCTTTTAATTTGTAACAAACATGTACAATTTCACCTAGATAGATGATGAAAATTTTTAGATAACTTATCCAAATTTATTGTTTTACCATTGACAACATCCTACTTTCTCGGGCTCTTTATGATGCATGGTACAAATGCTAACAAGAACAACAACAACTACTACCAAGTACAATCTAAGGGAATTTCATTTTGTGAAAACTAAAATAACGTAGTGATCAATACCATATCCTTGTGGAGGAGAAAATAATTTGGATAAGAAAGGAAATCAAAATAAGAAGCTCAACTACTATTGGTGATTGCAAGCCAATAATAATAATTTTTGCTAAATACACAAGAACCTGAAAAGGAAAATTCCAAGTTTAGAGTACTATCTCCAACTCTTTACCAACTAAACTAGTTGACATCCACGCCAACAGGGTCAATAGGCAAAAGCAAAGTATATAGAAAGAGTACAAACATTTGAATATTCCATAAAGAAAAGCGCCTTTATTGAACTTTACTTCCGGGATACATCAACAATTTTCCTTAACACTCTCTTATGCTTTATTTAAAGGGGTAAAAACTCACCAATGAACCTCCCACTTACAATGACCTAGGGACTCATATGTATATACGTATACCACTCCTTTCCCGGATACCTAATATCCTAGAGGTTGTTCTGTTCTTCATAAATGGGTGAATGTACTAGGTAAATTGAATCAAGTTAATAATCTGCTCATAAAACTTTCTGGTCATCTGATGGCATTTTCCACCTAGATCATATTATGAAATTCTATTTTACAAAGTATATTAATACTTTTATGAAATACTGTTTAATATATGTCCTAATTTTTATTTACAAATCGATAAACTTTGAAATTATATACACTTTGAATTTGACAAAGTTTTGTGGCCAAATAGAGTAAAGATAGTAGTAACATTTATGGTTGTTTCTTGTTTGGCTGTAAGTAGGGTTCAAATTGAACCAAAAGCATGTGACAAGTACTTGAAGTATTATTAGCCAACATGCAAATATCCTCCTATACATTCCTGTCAACCCAGCTACCAGACCATGCATATACAGTAAAGCTAATTTACTTATGTCGCTCAAACTCTTGGTTATGTTAAACGTTACTTCATCAAACAACATGATGCGAAACATGACCCCTTCAATTAGAGAAAAATACATAGGCTATTCCTTTGTGACCAAATTGATCAATACCATGCAACATGAATAAGTAAAAGAGAAGGGAGCATTGATACAATGGAAAAGTTGTTTGATTTGAATGATTTCAATCTAAACTCTCATTAAATTTCTACGAAAAAATTCTGTTACATGCCTACAATAATTTTCTATAATCTACAATATATACGAAAGAGGAGACAATTTTTTCTAGAAACTGCAAATAAGTACGTGTGCCTTAGTTTGTTCTTGATGTTCATGTGACAATGATGAGTATCTGCAGCTGGCTAATGACATGATCAACGCCTTTTCTAAATCTACAGCTACACGTCTTTGGATCATAGAGATCACGTACTCCATGAAATTCGAATCACAAGGCACTGTAATTGGCCCTGAACTTGTTAATCCAAACTCTTCCTCAGCTATTCTGAAAAGCTCTATGAAAATCTCACTTTTGAGATAAGCCAAAGGAATGGTAAATCTTTTTCCATCTGTTGTGTAGACAACAAAGTGACCCTTATCAGCCAGCAATTGAGGCCAGGAGATCCTCTTCCTGCTTGCGGCTGCTATCTTTTGCCACTTTCTTGCCATCTTGAGGAGCTTCTTTGTGCTAATCATATTGATATTTTTTTTCTTTTTTAAACTTTTAAGAGTGTAAGAAGAGATTTTGTTTCAAAGATGAGGGAATAGATGAGTATGAGGTATTTAGCAGTTGAGTTGATTGGAAAGTGTTGAGGGAATGGGCAGATTTTATAGCTTCAAGCTGAAGACAAATCACTTCATTGGTGACAGCCTTTATTTCATGATTTTGAAGCAAAACCATGTGATTAGGTTATTGTTGCTTTGGATGATCCCAAAACATGTAGCCCAAAGATGTCTCTTGATAATTAATATGAACCTCTTCTAAGCCAGTCAATTAGATTATAGAATCATAATTTGAATGGTTCTGCTTTTTCTCTAATCCAATATCTAATCTGCATAATTGTGCTGTTCTCTGATGCACATGCCAACTAAACATCTGCATTTAATTAGTTGGTAAGTGCTTGGTAGTGTGAATACATGATGAGCCCAAACAAAGCAGTATCCACTCTGAACTACGATAGCGTCGATAATCTAATTAATTTGCTGTCAACAGGCTTGTATCAATTATCAAATTACATCTTTGGTCCTACGCATTCCGAGATTTGTCAAAATGAATGCCAAATAGAAAAGTAACCCAGACACGGCCATGAATATCCACATGAACTTGTTTCAAAAGAATGAAAAAATGGCAGACCCACATTGAAATGAATTGTCTCTAGTTTGGAGCTATAAAACTTGATCATTCTCCAAAGTATTTCTTAACCAAACTGCTAAATTACTCATAACATTCCAATCTTCTTACTGTCGAAAAATTCTCTCCTTAAAATTCTTTAGCAGAATACCCAAAAAAAAATGATCAGTAATAAGAAGCTTATCAAAATGGCAAAGAAATGGCAAAGATTAGCAGCTGCCAGCAGGAGGAGGATTTCTTGGTCAAAATCAGTAGTAGAGAAGGGTCATTTTGTTGTTTACTCAAGTGATAAGAGGCGATTTGTAATTCCTTTGGCATACCTTAACAACGAGATTTTCAGAGAGCTCTTTAGAATTGCTGAGGAAGAGTTTGGAGTGTCAAGTACGGGGCCAATCATGTTGCCTTGTGACTCGAGTTTCTTGGAGTATGCGATCTCCATGATCCAAAGACACGTAACTGAGGACTTGGAGAGGGCATTGATCATGTCCTTCGCAAATTGCAGATACTCATCATTGTCAAATGACCAACAAGAACAAACCAATCAACAATTGTTTATCTGTAGTTTCTAGGAAAATTTCCTCTTTTTGTAGATACAAATAGTTGTACAAAATTACTGAGAGATTAATAGAAATTTCATGCGTTCAAATCAAACAATCTTGTCAGTTTAGCACAGTTCCTTTATCTTATCATGGTATAAAATGGAAATGATCTTGCTTAATAAAAACAAAACAAATACTTACAGGAAAGGAAAATGTTTAAATTGAAGTGGTAAAGTTGAACTGAATGACAGATGATTTCTGCATCATATATCCTCCTTTCTGTGATGCTAACTGCAATGCAAAAGCATTTACATATGTTATGCTGATTACTAATAGACCATCTGACATCTACATGAGTAATAATCTTCAATGAACAATATAAACTTAGCAATCAACATAAATTATTCTCTATAAAAATATTTGGCATCCGACTGAGTCAGCTTATTATAGAATCGTAGAATGAAGGAAAAATATTCAATGAAAAAGAAAGCGGTTTCCAGTTACAAGAACATCAAATAGTACTAGGCTTAACAAATGAACAAACAATACAGTTAAACCAGTGACCCTGTTCTGGTCAATTCAAGCAGTATATGACATAATAACAGCGGCTTTCATTTAGTAATTGTTCAGCACACCTTACATGGCACAGAAAGTCTGTCCTAAAAACTATGAATTTACAGCAACCGAGAGGCAAATGCAGTCAAAAAATTTGTTATTTGTAACCTTGCAGAAAATCAGTATAAAAAAATATAAGTATATTTTTTAAATTTTAAATAAGAAAATTAAAGGTCATTAGTTGATACATACATTTCAAAAAGAAAAATTTTCACCCTAAAGTCCATTTGGATCTTCGGATGTCAAACGTCCAAGACTAAAGTTTGTTTATAGGTGATACATTTCATCCAGCATATATAACTTCAGAAATCAGAACTCGTCAGCAAATAACTGGAAAAAACCTATCCATAATCTTAATTGTAATACAAATCTGCTATCATAGCAGGTGAGATGTGAGAGCATAATAAGGGGATGAATTAATTGTTAGCCTTAAGCTCAGCTCCAGCTGATTCTTAGTATAATGCAGCACAGATGGATACTATGAGGTAGTATGCAGTACTCTGATACGGTACAAGGTACTAGTGCTGCAAACCTAGAGTTTTAGTCCTGTTGTCATATCAGAATACCAGATCTAATAGCTGACCTTTCAAACGTTTGGCAATGCTCACCTACATGAACCACAGGATTGACAATACTAATTACTATCATATCGAAAACAAAGCCAAGTTTCACTGTATGCACCATCACTGCCATGATAATCCAAGCAATCCATGTTACTTTGTTCCTAGATTATCTGTATAATGCTCCACCTTGTAGTGGTCTAGAGTAGTTCCTTCTTGGATTATCTATTTTATGTTCCATATTGCAGTGGTTGATAGGAAGAATTGGCCTACATGGAGTGGTTCACACTTGGCCTACATGTTCTCAGATCATTCTAATGATAGCTCTAAGCCAAACAAAGTAAACATGCCCACCTGAAGTTTCACATGGTTCTGTTTTTTAGAAGAAATGATATGCCCTTGGATTGGAGCTATAAAAATCCATCATGCCTCATTCCTTCAACAAGCACTACAACAACTTCACAGAATTTCTTTCCTTCAACCAGACATTAGCACTTCCTTACATAATTTTCTGATTCTAAAAACACCAGGTCTTTCTCTTCCACTGTTACAGAAAACAAAACATGATAAGTACCAAGAAGCTTATTCAACTGGCACGAAAGTGGCAAAAGATGGCAGTTGCTAGTAGAAGAAGAATTTCCTGGCCAAGAACACTGGCTGATAAAGGCCATTTTGTTGTCTATACAACAGATGGTAGGTGGTTTATGATTCCTTTGACATGTCTTAAGAGTGAGATTTTCAGAGAGCTCTTAAGAATGGCAGAGGAAGAGTTCAGGGTTGCAAGTACAGGGCCAATTAAGCTGCCTTGTGATTCGAGTTTCATGGAGTATGCAATCTCTATGATCCAACGACATGCAGCTGAAGAATTGGAGAAGGCACTGATTACATCCTTAGTTAGCTGTAGATACTCATCATTGTCATATGAACATCAAACACAAACCACACAACAATTGCTTATCAGTAGTTTCTAAGACAATTTCCTTTCTCCTTTTTTGTATAGAACAATACTATGTAATTTTACCTAGATAGAGTTAATGGAACTTCCTGCAGATATTATTAAAACAACAGTCTCGTAATATTAGCAATTTGTTCTTGTTTACCTTTTTACAGGAACTGTCATTTATTAACAAAGGATGGAATAGGCTAAATTTTGATAAGAAGAGACCAAAAAATATCTGGAATAAAAGGAAGTTTGAAAGAGATTGAAGAGGTGAATTGAATTAAACTTTTATAAAGTATTACAAACAAACTTTCAAGTAATCCCTTCAGTTCATTGTAGCTAACAGCAGTAGAACAGCAAGAACATAAAGATTTGAGTTGTGACGTTGCACAGAAGCAGTTAACAGAACATGTATACTATAATCAGACTACATAAAAAATGACACCTACTACTTACTGAAGTATAAGCTCAGGGGGGGCATTTGGTTGGGGGTATTCATCAAAAGAAATGGGAATCAACAGGAATCATTCCCTTTGTTGTTGTTTGTTAGGCCACTTTTCCATTTCCCCTTTCCCCCTTCATTCCCCCAAATCCCTCCAAGTTCATTTCCCACCTCCCCAAGGTATTTCCATTCCATTCCTAGGCCACCACCACACCACCATACCACCACCCTCCTACCTACACACATCACCGGAAAACCGCACCACCACCTACCCTTCGCCGCGCCTCCCCCACCCCTAGCCGGCCCTCCCTCCACCACCTACCCCTCGAAGACATTCCCTAATCTTGGCCATCCCTCGTCGCACCGCCTAATACCTAACCCTTCGCCGGAAATCCCCCAGCCGCCCAATACCCCACCATCAAAAACCCTAATCGACCCTTCCCCACCTTCGAAACCAATTGGTTTTTAGAACCATGGCCGCTGATTTTCGCTGGTGGTTTGGGTCGTGGGCTTGGGTTCGATCCGGCGGAAGAGAGGGAGGTTGCAGTTGCGTGGAAGGAGGAGAAAGAGAGGAGGATTGTGGTTGCGTGGAAGGGAGAGAAAGAGAGGAGGATTGTGGTTGCGGTGGTCGGTGGGAGGAGAATGCTCGGTCAGAGGAGGGAGAGGAAAGGTTGTGGGCGGTGCTGTGCGAGGGGCTGTGCAGCTGCCGGCGAGGGGCATGTTTCTAAGGTGGAAAGTGAATTAATTGGTGGTTGTGTGGTGGTGGGATTGTTTCCCTTTGTTTAAAACAAACAACATAAAGAATATAAGGTATTTTCATTCCATTATTTTCCATTCCCCTTGTTCATTCCATTTCATTTACCCCGAACAAACTAAACGGCCCCTCAGTCTTACAACTTACTAGTAGACTAGACTCTATTAGAGTAATAGTTACCCATCCAGCTAGCCAACTTTGCACTTTAACAATCGATGGAATCACTTATCAATTTAGCATAGTTCATAAAAATTGTTCGTCTAGTGTCAGTTTGGAGGGGGGTGAGATTAATACACTTTTTGCTACTACGATTTTTTATGTTACCTTGAGAGATGAGGGTCATTTCTACGTCATTCTTCCCTTTAATTTAATCGCAAAACAAAAACATCCAGTAACAATGAAAACAGCAGTTTGTCATAACAGGACAATGAAGAAGCAAGAGCTGCAAAACATCTGTTCTGGGTAGAATGGGATGACTTTGTAAGTCTTGAATGGGTAAGATTGGACGAAACAGGTGTAAAGATTTACCACTTTAAGAGCAACGTATCCTTAAATGATGATCAACTTATGAGAAGCAGGTTTAAAGCATATAGTTGTACGGACATGATGAGCTTCAGTTTGGCAAATGGGCAGAACAAGCCAGCAAGAAGGTTTGCTGACAAGGGCAATAATCAATAGTTGCTATTAAGGATCACCAAACAAGGACAGTCGCAGAAAAGAATGACTTCCAGATTTCTCTATTCTGCACTTGTCATATTTCCGATGTTAACTTGCTAGTCTAGAGACATGACTATCAATACAATGGCCTACATTGCAGTACAGTTGCAAAAAGAATCCATGCAAGATTGCAAGCACGACCCGACGAGGGGGGAAGGGGGGGGGGGGACGGGAAAATCTACAGGCTATCTTTGTTTTGTCAAAACAATTTACTTGTGTGGTTCTAAAGGAATTTCCAACTTACCAACACTTTGGGGTTTAATATGCCAACTCACAACAGCTTATTAGTATCACACAAGGGAGTTCAAGCAAAACCAAATCCAACGTGCCCACCTGCTTAACAGGATTTCTAGGACCAACATCCACGTGGTCTTGCTTCCAAAAAAAGACAAGCACCATTAAAATCATGTCATTTGCTAAGAGCTATAAAGCCTTGCTACTTCTCAAAAATCCCTCAAACCAAACTACTTGTCCAAGTATCTACCTCCTTCTAATTCATATTTCAATCTCACACTCTCAGTCTTTCAAACTTCAGAAAACATGATCAGTTCAAAGAAACTAATAAAAATGGCAAAAAAGTGGCAAAAGCTAGCAGCAGCTAGCAGAAAGAGAATATCATGGCCAGCATCAAAAGTTGCAGAGAAGGGTCATTTTGTCGTTTACACGATAGATGGTGAACGATTTATGATTCCCTTATCATTTCTCAAGAGCGATATTGTTACACAGCTCTTTCAAATGGCAGAAGAAGAGTTTGGATTGACAAGTGATGGGCCTATTACATTACCATGTGATTCTACTTTCATGAAGTACACCATCTCTATTCTCCAAAGACATACAGCCAAGGAGTTCGAGAATGCACTGATCTTGTCCTTGAGTAATACCTGCCACTCAACATCATTGTCGTGTTTACAGCAACAGCAGAATAGCCAGCATTTACTAATTCACAGCTTCTAGACTAGTTAGCGGAAAGAAAAAGCATATGCTTTTCCATTTTCTATACCAAAAATGAGATACCTAGATGTTAGATAGATGTAAAGAGGATTTTGTTTAACATATTATCGCTTTTGGAACATCTCTATTTGTTTTTTATTGCTAAATATAATTCCCACCCCAATCCTCCTCTTCTCCCGGAAGAAAAAACTAATCCCATATCTTGAAAATATGCATCCAAAATACAACCTTGACAATATCAACTGAACATACAGGACATTAGTTAAGTGCTCCGGATTTCCTACTTTAAACTGAAACCAGAGCCGAAACAAAATAGTGGTTGCAATATATAAGGGAAAACGTTTCACAAAAGCCTCCAAACACAACAAAAGTGTTCACAATTTACTAAGAAACATCCTTAGATGAAGCCATTGATCATATTGTCTTTACTATATACGAAGTAATTTGTATACTTCTCAATCTTAACTAATGCTACCAATTACGAAACTTGTTATATTTATATCCCTGACATCCGAAATTTGCTGATCTTGTCCTAGACATCATCTCTATATTTTCATAAGCATGTGGCTTATCTAAGGATGGCAGTCAACGATTCATTCCTGTTTTCTCAGAGGATGAAGTATGGTACAACTCATACAAGACAAGTATTCTCTATGGGTACTCATCTTCACAGAAAAGGATCTAGTAAAGTATTTAATCAAACTAAAATCTGAATATCCTGAGATTCAGTTGCAGCAAAGTAAATTTCCACATAATTAGAATCTAGTAAATCGAACTTATATAATTTAATAAAACCTTTACCCCAACAAATAATACACAATCTATAGGGAGAGAGAGAAAAAAAAAAACAAAAAAAAAACAAAAAAAAAAAAAAAAATGATGCATCTAACTTCTGGTTTAGGACTCAAGGCCAGCATGAGGGGCCTTGATCAGCTGGCAACGATTATCATGTTCTTGTGAAGCTATGGACCCTTGAGGTTCCAACAAACACCACACAACAAAAACAGGAGACATCATTTATATCTAATCTCAACAAAGAGAGGAAGAAGTAGAACTCTCTTAAGTTATCCACACCCACAATTTAGTAGCTAACATGCAACTATCTAATATTAATTAAAGAAGATAACTTATGGCCTATGTGGTTTAGATTCTTGATGACAACTGCTCTTCAGATGCTGGTTTTAGAGTGAACTAAATCCAGACACACCCACCTGCTTAATTGACACAGTCGCAGAGTTGCAATTCTAACAACCATTCATAAGTCACAAGTGGCTAGCACTAAAACGTACTAATGCTTTAATCAGTACAAGGTAATATTATTTGGCCTACATGGCTTAGGAACTTGATGGCAACTACTCTTAAGGGTAATAAGCTAAAGCAAGACATGCCCACCTGCCTGAAAGAGTTGCATGGACCCATCTCCACATGCTTTTGTAATCAAGAATTAGCCTGTTACAAGAAAGATTAGAGCCATATGTCTATGGGTTGGAGCTATAAAAACTCGTGCACTTCTCATAGTTTCCTCAACTCAAATACAAACTTCCTCGTCCGTTTCTACATCCTTAAACTCCATATTTCAATCCACCTCTAATTTTCTCAAGATCTAAAACATGATTAGTACAAAGAAGCTCATCAACATGGCAAGAAAATGGAAGAAACTAGCAGCAGCCAGCAGACGAAGGATTTCATGGCCAAAACCAGCAGTGGCCAAGGGTCATTTTGTAATATATACAACAGATGGAAGACGGTTTATGATTCCCTTGGTATATCTTCAGAGTGAGATAGTTAGAGAGCTGCTTAAGATGGCAGAAGAGGAGTTTGGACTCATAAGTGAAGGGCCTCTCACATTACCTTGTGATTCGACTTTCATGGAATATGCCATGTCTATTCTCCAAAGACATTCAAACGAGGATTTGGAGAGAGCAGTTATCATGTCCTTGAACAGTTGCCGCTCCTCATCATCATCATCAAATATGCAGCAAGGATACAACAATCAGCAACTTTTAATCTCTAGCTTCTAGAAAGGCACGAGGGAAATTATTACAATTTCCTAAATAGTCTACGATTAGAATTTAGAATACATTACAGATGTAACAGAAAATTTTGTTCATAATCAAATACGAGTAGTTAGCCTCTGAATAACATTTTCTTGTGCTCGTCACTTTTGCCTCTCCCTAAAATACTTATAGAAGAAGAAAAAATTCTTGATTGCAAAAGGAAAAAGAAAGTAAATTTTATATATATATATATATATATATACTATCTTAAAAACAAACTATCACATCCAGGGGAGTACAAATTATAAAATAAAAATATATATATATATATACAGGAATTTACAAGGGAAAGTCCACTAAGATTGAATGTCCATCAGTAGCCAGAAGGGGAGTAAAAAGAGCCACAGGCAGAATTCGTCAGTAAAATTAATTTAAGAAGAAATTAGCCGGCCTATACCCAATTTTCATATCAAGAGACCCAAAATTTCATTGAAGAGCATATTCTCTTTCAATAATCAGAAACTATCATTATACTTTAGCATAATCATCCCATTCCATTAGTTTTGCTCAATACATTAGTAATTCTTTCACACTAGATCTTTACCAACGATATTATGTTGCTATTTCATCCAAGCAATGCTGCAGGCACTTAACAAGATTTTCAGCTTTTTAACTAAAAATATTTCTATAAGCTAAAAATATTATTCTTCTCAGCAATAACAAAAACAGAAGAAACTCTTTAACGCCATACCAGTAGAAAAGAAAACTGCAATATACCTTGCTTCCTCAGCAACAAACTAAAGTTTGATGTCTAATGGCTCAATAAAGACCAATGGCATCATCAATATCTTATCATTTGAACAGCCATGGAGTCTCATGATGATACACAGAGTGGAAAATAGAATATTCAGATATTCTTAGAAAAGATCATACGTTTACAAGGACATAGGGTTGCTGGAAAATTAGATGGCAAAGTTTGTAATGAAGTGTGTCAAACAACAGAAAAATTCAAGTAAAATTGGGGAAAGTGAGTCAGTGTTGATCCAAGAGAGCATTGAGCACCAATCATCATGCTAAACGTAAATTACCACCTCTATACAACATATTTTTCATCATTCAATATATCAATCCATATCACTCCTATTTCAGAGTTATCCATCAAAATAATACACCTCGTTTTGATAGTATAATGCACTAATTTTAAAAATCACATCAAAATTAACAATATAATCCCACAAGAGAAGGCTCTTTCACCAAGTTTGGATTCTGTCAAGTTAGCAATACTATTTTTGCTACATAAACATCTACTTCAAACTAGATAGATTAAATTTTTATCAACTTATAATTGCGACAACTTGGTTGCAGTAGCTTTTGTCACTTAACAGAGACAGGAAATGAAAATTTCAGATCGGACAAACTTAAATATTTCTTGTCCAGCACAAGTGCATACTCATTCTCGACAATTTAAAGAAATCCACAATCTAGGGGCTCTTTTGGCCTCCACAGGTTAGAAACTTTATGAAATTACCTCACCAAA